GAACACCATGTGCGATTCTTTGAACACCATGTGCGATTCTTTGAACACCATGTGCGATTCTTTGAACACCATGTGCGATTCTTTGAACACCATGTCGATTCTTTGAACACCACGTGCGATTCTTTGAACACCATGTGCGATTCTTTGAACACCACGTGCGATTCTTTGAACACCATGTGTGATTCTTTGAACACTGTGTACGATTTTTTGACTCAGAAACTACTTCTCCCTGACTTGGATGGGTCAGACCACTATTTTTAGTCTTTTATTTTTACCTGCTTCTTTTGTGTGTGCTTCCTTGATGTTGGAAAAGTTACTCCATCTACGCCAGTCATCCTTACAATACTCAATTGTGGTACAATAATCTCTCATTCTCAGCTTGATCCGGTACAGCCCATACGGTTGAGGCAAATGCTCCAGGACATAACTTGGATGGGTCTTGTTCATCTTTCTTGAAACTTCCACTATCTTCGCCTGAACAAACCCAGATCCCCATCCCCGAAAAAAAAAAGAAGGTTTTAAATGTGCGTCGTGATGTACCAGTTGAGAACATAGCGAGCGAGTGAGTTAGCAAATGGCTGCACTAAAAACGGCAGACCTCGTGCGAGCATTTTGCTATTCCCGAATGACCTCAGATAGGCTTCATTTCAGGAGAGCAAACTGGCTCAGTATACATAGCAGTAAACATGTACGGTGCCCTCTGTGTGATTCACTGGGCAATGGCAGCCCCTAAAAGTGTACAATGTACCTGACACAGCAAGGGTGCGGCAACTCATCAATGAATCAGTGAACCTTTCGACCTATCACTGGGTTTGTTGAAATGTGTGTTTTGTGGATTTTTTGGTTTCGTGAGTAGAAAACAGCTACATGTAGGTGTATAATTTACAATAATAATAACAATTTATTCATTTTTAAATCGCAAATTTCATATAGATATGTTCAAACGCGCTGTACAATGAAGACATTAAGCGTGGAACAATGAATACATTTAAACATGGTGGAGCCGATGGCATACAAGGGCGCCTAGGGCAGCCGCCAAACGACCCACATTCAACAACATCGGCAAAGAGGAGACAGTAAGAAGCAGGTACAGTTTTAGAGGTGGGAGGAAAACCCCAGAGGAATATTCTGGGTAGCACCCATGGAGTCAGGTAGGGACTGAAAACCGAATCCACATGTGGACCGGGCCGGGAACCGAACCCGGGACCACAGAGGTGGAAGACGAGGAAAGAACTACCTTGCCAACCTGAGTCCCTACTCCCTACAACAATGCAAAGAACAATGTGAACTTTGAAAAAATAATATAGATATCAACCTTGTCAACAGCTTGGAATACATTGGCACTGGTAATTTGCAAAAGTTTAAGACTACCTGGAATTTTATGGGTACTTCCGTCGATGCGCCTGCATTCCTTTGTCTCATCGGATGACTACATTACATGTTTACTACAAAGTGGTCCATAACATGAAAGGGGTGCTATCAGCCCATCGGAATCAAAGTTTTTGCCAAGACAGGTGTTGTGTGGCATTTTGTCTTTACTGTAGCAAGAATTACAAAGCAGGTTGAAGTCTGGTTCAAAGGGCCCCAACAGTGACCCTCCATGAAATTTGCAAGAGGGCTGGTTGCAGCAAGACTGTTATGCACAATGCCATTTCAAAATTTGAGAGCTGGCTCCTTTCTCTCTTCTGGCTGACCAGAAAAGGCACGGTCATCCAAGAAAAGTACCCCTCGTGAAGACCATGTCATCAATCTTGTCGAGAAGGATCCCTCAAGTTTTTGTTGAAAGATCGAAGCAGCTTTGCAGTCCACTGGGGCAAATGTTAGTGTAAGCACCGTTCCTCGCCGTTTGAGCAAAGCCTTTCGGCTCAAGTCACACAAAGCTGCCTGTAAGCCTTTTCTCACCAAGGCAATTAAGGTGAAGATTTATTTCTGAAAGTTACTGCATTTTGTTTGGGTGGTTGTGAAGTTTTGCAAATGACTGTGCATTATTTGAGTGATTTGAAGGGTCTTTGGGGGAAAACAAAAATAAGAAACTGATTTCTCAAGTCAAGGGGGAGGAATTTTTTACTGTGACTGTTGCAGCGAAAGGAGGGTTACAAGACGAAAATAACAAGGCAGGCCACGATGATACAATGATTTCAGGGGTCGTCAAAAGTTTCCAACATTTTCACAGAAGTACACAATGCTATTTTAAGGCCCCCCCACCCAAATTAGTACTTGACAACATTTTCAATCAGTATCCTGATATTCGACAAATTCCCAAAGGCACTACATTGTTGGAAAGTGTCCATTTTTAAGCACACAGATGCGAACTTTCGAAAAGTTTCATGCGTTAAATAGAAAGGTTTAATACGAAAAAAAAAAGTGTTTGTCGTGGACACATTGATAAAGGAATGTTTTTCCTGATCAATGATGATGCCATGCACGTCCCTCGAACCAGGACAAAATTGTGTGGGTGAGAATGGATACCGCACCGGGAACGATGCGCCGCGACGTCAAACCTTATTTAGTACACATACTCTGCTACTGGTGTATCGCCCTGTGTGCTCGCGCAGTCATAAGCTGGGCTTCACGAAAATTGTCAGACCAGCCAACCTCTGAAATCACAAAACTGTACACCAAAAATCCTGCAGTTGTATTATTCATTTGAAAATTGTATTCTTCCAAAAGTAAGCATATTCCTCCGTGACTGGTTTGACTAACTTTGGATTGGGTCAACACTTCTTCGTTAATAAAGAAATCATGTGAGAAATCTATTATCAAGGTTTGGGGAGCGAGTTGGCCCTTTTCCCACCTGCTTCGACCGTGTTTTCAAAATTTGAATTCTTTGTTACTACGAATGCATATCGCATGTCCAGGCTTTTGGACTTTCTGGATTTTCTGTGGATTTGTAACTTGAGGATGGGTCTTGTCAAAGTTTAAATCCAAGTCAGAGCTTCTTTGGAGATTTTATACACTTGTGCTGCACTCACATTTTGTTCAGGTTTACATCCAAAAATTGTTTGAAATCTCCTTGAAATCTCGTACAACATCATGCATCATTTGTACAAACCATGTGATAATGCACGACGGTACAGCTTTGCCTCACACTACAGGTACATGTACATGGAGCTGTTACAAAGCCCTCTATTGGAAAAAGCCAAAATTTAAGAACCTTACTTCAAGCCGCAAATTTACGGTAAAATACACGCTACCACACGCTACAGTGGAGACTGTTAGTCACCACTTCTGCTGACACAAGAATGGCTGAAAGGAGTCCCACTGACAAACATATGAATGTAGTGGATTGAAAGTCACAAGCTAAACAGTTGAGAACGCTTAACTGGAATTTATACCGGTAATTGAGAACAGATTTATAGGGTGCATATGTAAAGGAATACGTAAATGCACTTGGGAACTACATAAACAAGATGTCTCCTTCTTGGGGCACGTGCAGCTAAGCTGCGCGCGATGCGACGGTGCGCATTAGAAAATAATGGAAAATAATATTGATTGTGGGTTCTATCGAATAAACAAGTGGAGAAGATGTTTTGAAAAGGGAATGTTTTAGGGGAGTTGGAGAATGGGTGGGAAGGAGTAAGCATCGTAAGGAAAACGAGAGTAGTTGGGAGGCACAGATGAAGGATTACATAGGCTGATTCAGCCTTATCTGTAATCCAAGATGGTGTTATTGTCTACCGCCAGTACTGGTCTTGTGTATTCAATCTCGTACCATCAGCCCACCTCGCCTCCTCACGGAGACGTTAAATTGACAAGCTGTCGTATCCTTTGCACTCCATGGACCGACGGCCCTACATGAATATTGATATTGTGTGGGCAGCCAATCACAGCACACCGATCATATGGTTCCAGGATGCTATTTATAAAGGAGGTCTGCGCTTTGAGCTGCACCAAAAAATGCCTGCACCAATAAACTGTTTGCACGTTTACGTACAAACATCATATCAACGCCGTGTGTACCGGGCCGCGCCACGGCTGGTAGGCCTACAGTGCACATGGAAAGTACACGTACGTATGCGTGTACATGGACCATGCACACGAAACTTACGGATTTACTCTCCATCGGAGCCAGCTCTCAGTGCGCGACTGGTGATTAGATGTAATGCTTGCTTTTTCTAGATTTTTTACATTTTACAGAAAATAAGAATACTACTAAAAATCAACCTTTTATAGGACTCCAAAGTCGTAAGTGGCCTATGACCCCCTCTGTCTTTATATGCTTTGTATGACCGTGAACATAAAAACTTTGGACAACCCCTTAAGGACCGCTAAACATCCATTTAAAAAGATTAAAACTTGTCCTCAAATTCATCAAGAAATGTATGCAATGTTAATCCCTTTCTGCTTGGTAATGATACACCCAAAAATGAGATTATTATGGTGTCGATGGTAGGGGTTAAAGGGTCTTTTTTTTTCAAAGTTTGTGTGTGCGAGTAAAACCCTTTTTAATCTTTTCATTCAATCTAACAGATCTCATTTTAACCCTCACACACCCATGCACAAGAGAGTTTTATTTTCCAAAATTCAAACTTCCACTGTTCATTGAAGCGTGAAATGTGAACCACGAAACTGGCATCAATCAGAGTGGAGCTACCCCCTTGACCATTTAACGGGTGCCAACCAGATTTTTGAAACTTGGTCCTGCTATTTTTATGGTTTTTCTGAGAGTCTACCATTTCTTGATACACCCTGCAGATTTAAAGAGACTTTTGGAATATCCTGATAAAAAAATCCCGAAATCCGGCAAAATCTAGACAAATCTCACCCCGTCTGGAGAGCAGTCTCTCCAGCCAACCTCGGGGTCTTCCAGCTCGCAGAACACCTGGTACTCCAGCTTACTCTGCTCATTCGGCGGGTATTGGGCATAATCGAGTGGTGGACGCCACTGGACCAGCAGCGATGAGTTGGAAATGCCACTCACCTTTTGCAGTCGTGGTGGGTTGGTCACAGCTTGGGAAGAAAGACGACAGTGGCCCGTCAGGGAAGAGTAAAGTTGCTACATGCACAAGTCTGTGGAGCCAGCCTTGCTTGGACAATGTCACAACAGCTGGTGCCCCCCTGCTCTCATTAACATTATACCCATCCCAACACTGACAACAGGCTGGTTCCCTGCCGTAGTAACAAACGTGATGGCTACATTTACATGTAGTAAACATCGTTTACGCACAGAGTATAAGGTTCGCACACATGAAATATATGGGATGCCATCATTCTATTTTTAGGTGCCGGTGGATAAGGGGAGATCATTATATAACAAACACCATGAAACCATTTAGGAACTTTTCCTTTTGTGATTCATATCAGAGAATCTGCAAAGAGAAGCAACTGATGATGTGTCTGAAAATCACCAGGTTGGGTTCAGAAGAAAATGCTTTGTCACGTGGCCATCCCGTGGCTACAGGACTTAGCAATCTGTCAAAGTACACACAGTCCTGGGCCAAGTTCATAGAGCTGCTTAAGCACAAAATTTGCTTAAGCACAACAAAAAACTTGCTAAAAAAATACAGATTACCAGCTCAAAATTTATGTGACTGTCATGCTAATCAAAAGACAGGTGAGTACCATTCCAAACCAATATACGTATTACATAAATTTTGGCTGGTAACCCGATTTATCAAGCAAGGTTTTTTAAAGCAAATTGTGTGCTTAAGCAGCTCTATGAAATTGGCCCCATCTTGAAGTCTGGGACTCGAACCTTATTCACACTATCCCAAAGGAGACTGTGTCATACAGCTGGCTATCACAGAGATGCCAACTTTTCAAAATGAAAAAGTCTTATCCTATAGCACTTCCAGTTCTGGTTTCCCGACTAACCCTAACTTTTCGGCGTGGCCCTAAAAATTTTCATTGGCAAATTAGAAAACAAAATTTAAAAAGTTTTTAAAAATCGTGTTGTCTTTTCTCTCAAAATAAACACCACATATTTACCAGACAAGCATTGTGCAAGTGTGAAGTGTAATTAATTGTTGATTATATTTCCACATTAGGTCCTAATTCTAATATTGTATGAGATGTCAGTGGTCATGAATGCAGCAAGAGTTACCGTACTTAGCCAATGGCAAAAATGTGACTGATGGACTGTACCTTTAACCAGTTGGCGCACAATTTTCCTTATTTGTTCCACAGATGATGTGAACCTTCATATTTTGACAATCTGTGTTTCCATTCCCACAGCAGATGTATTACCTCATCATGAAATTGCAAGGTTGGTGAATTTATGGAGAAAGCCCGCCCTCAGCAGCTTTGTCGGGGAAAACCCCCCGACATTAAGTGGCTCCCCCCCCCAAAAAAGAACTGGATATGAATTGGCAGGAGACTAGGGGAGGATACTATGCTGGCGTCACTTACTCATCCACTCTGGGATAAATTGTTCAGACAAGCTCCAGGTTACGTTCAGGGCATTGGAGGACTTGACCCTTAAGTGAGCAGAATGCTCGAAGATGCAGCCCACTGTCAAGTTGCACCGAGTTCTTTTATCCTCACTGCTGGGTTGAAAAAAGCAAAATCAAAGACAGCTCAAGTATTTTCAAAGGAGCACTCAACACCGCATGACATGCCAACACCTGGAGACATCCCGCGTCGCAACAAAAATGATAGAGGTGAAAAGCTTGCGGTAGCACTGTGCAAGGATACGATCTCTTTTGTGAGCCAAACAATTGGTAAAACTCTAACATAACTAAGCTTTTTTTTGGTAAATCATATTTTATTGAGAAAAATTGTGGCATCATATCGTCACTGAAAAATCGTACGAAATACAATAAAATCGTACTGGTCGGCAGCGCTGACTATGTGACACACATGTATGTGAAGTCTTGTCGTAAAAAAACAAACAAACAAACAAACAACGGGACAATGCAGTCAGAAATATCTCACAAATCTTTAATGAATGGCCATTCGGGGTCACCATTCATAAAGTTCAACTCTATCAAGGACTACTGTTGGGGTAACCCATTATTTTCACGAGTTGGTATTTTCAGCTGTAAGCAATGCCGCGCCTGGGACGGGTGGAATGTGGAACAATATCATCAAAAAGTGGCTGTAAGTTGACAAACGTTTGAACTTTCTGCATGTGCGTGAATATGCTGGTGCACAACAATACACTCAGATTTTCCTGAAAGGTTCACTCTGCATGTAGGGAGTTCATTGGAGCTCACTGAATTGACCTGACCATATTTCATGCGCTCAGTTTAATTCCGTTCAAACAGTGACAAACATCGCGTGGAAAGCGAGACTGGCACTTCAAAGAAAAGAAAGATCTGGTTCACATCCAGTATGCCAGAAGTGTCTTAACTGGGGAAGTGCATTTTTTTTTCCTTGCTTTGAAAACTACGGTATCAACTATGAATCCTACGATTTCAAATGCGTTTAATTCAGCAAGCAGAATTTCTGACAGAAAAGTTGAAGTGGTTGTACAGTGTTACTTAGAATCTTACTCTATCCAGTACAGCGTGTGCTCTGTCTTCAAGTTGGTTTTGGGGCCGTTGGACCACTCACAAAAAACGTTCCTGAAGTTAGTGGAGAAACAATGCAAATCTGTTATCACAGGTGGTGGCACTGTGGATAGAAAGACAAAAAACAGAAAAACCACCATTAATTGTTTCAAATATGAGTTCTTTTAATTTGTTACCGATTATTATCATTCTGAAAATGGAAATTATACCGTGAAGTAATTACAAGCATTTGACGCTGAGGCAGGACTTTATTAGTCTAAAAAGTCAAAGTGTGGAATCCACTCTGTACATCAGCATTCTGTAGGCCTT